TGTTCAAAATAATAATTTTAATTAATAAATTTTTTATTTGTATAAAAAAATAATAATTTAATTGAAAAAAATCAAATCTTACTCTCTATTTTTTTTTTTTTTAGGCTGAAAAGGAACAAAAGGGAGCAAAAAAGAGTGGATGAGTAACATGTGAAAGAAGCAATGATCTGTGTAAAGCAGAAAAGGGAGAAGTTTGAAACACAGGCCCCTAAATGCCAATGCCAGCTAAAGAAAAGAAGAAAGCATGGTATCCATCTGTTAAAAAAAAAAGCATGGTTTAATACATAAACAACCATTTTGCCCCTCACTACCTACTTGAGGAGGGGAGTTACAAAAGGAAATGGGAGGGTAAAAAGGTGATTTTAAATACGGAAAGGTAGATGTTAGCGACAGAGGGTTTAGGGTAAAAAGACCACAATGCGCCCAGAGCAGACCTGAAACAGCAAGCACAATATTTGAGCCACTTTCTAGGTCAAATTGTAATTACAATGTGAAATTTGGAGAGAAATGGGCAAATAGTAAGTAATAAGAGAGATAGGAAGAAGTAGGGATTCAAAATTTATATATTTAGATTTATATTTTAAATTACAAATTTTAAATGAATAAATATTAGTTAAATTAATTTTTTATTGATAAAGAAAAACATAATTTATAAATTTTGATTTTGGCTCTACTCCAGACCCAAGAATCAAACACATAAACCCAAAAATCAAGAAGACAAGGTTGAATGCTACACTCCAAGAATTGAAATGTTAATCTAAATTTTGAAACCCCCAACGGTCACCAAATTTGACTGCCATTAGTGACTCACAATCAACTTGTAATAAAATAAGTAATAAATTTCTCAACTATCTAAATAATTTAATAATAAATTTTTTTTTTACTAAAAATAACATTTTTTAAATTTGAATCGCATAATATAACATATAAGTGGAGTGAAGTAAAGGATAAAAGAGAGTTATCTTTTATTGTACAATTTAAATAAAAAAATAATTAATAAATTAAGAATAAAGGAAATATACATAAAGCTCCTCTGTAATAAGTTAGCACTTAGCAGACCAATAAATGTGTGATAACTATGAAAAGAACACATCTTTTTTCTTTTACAAAATCCTTGATATTTGGAAACATCAGGTTTTGGCAATTCTAGAGATTTGGGTACTTCAGGCCTTAGTAACTTTGGAACTTTGGGTGTTTCAGGTTTTAGCAGTTTTGGCAATTCTAGTTTTTGCAACTCAAGAACCTTAGGTTTTGGTATCTCTGGCAATTTAGGCAATTCTAGCTTTTGCAATCTCAAGCACTTCAAGTTTTGGTAGCTCAGGCACCTCTGACTTTGAAATCCCAAGCAGCTTGGGCTATTCTGGTTTTGGCAACTTAGGTAACTTGGGGAATTCAGGCTTTGGCAACTCAGGCACTTGAGGTTTAAGTATCTCTGTTAGTTTAGAGACTTCAGGCTTTGGCACCTCTGGGACTTCAGATTTTGGCAAAGTTGGAATTACAGGCAATGGCAGCAATTCAACCTTAGGCAATGTAGTAATCTCTAGGACAATTGTCTCCAGAAGACTACGAGCCCCCAATCAAGAAACTGTTTTTGCTCATTGAAAACAAAGTGGCCAACAAAGTGATGAAACAAAGAATTGAAGACAATGATAAGCCACGGTTAATCACAAGTCTATGCCAAATGAATGGACCGGTTTGTAGTTTGCTTATGCATTGTTGGTCAATCTCATAAGCCTTTTCATATATGTGAGATGCGGAGATAAAAGGCTCAAAAGATAGAGTTGCTAGAACTTCCCGAACCTAGTTAGCTCAACTTCCCAAGATCCCAGCTACTAATTTGCTTTCCAAATACCTTATTTATTTCCTCTAGGAAGGGAGCAGAGAAGAGCTTTTTTGGATGGGTTTAAACACCAGATTTCCTTTGACAAGTCCAAAGGAAATCAGAATTTCTTCAATTAATCTTTAGATCAACATCGTTCTTGCCTGTCGTTGAACAAAATTATGACTTCATCAATTGGGCATAAATTGGTCCAAAAGAGATCAAAAACCTACCCATCTTGCAATTCTTCCTAGTTAGTGCCTGTATCACTCAGTAAAGTTTCATTGTACACCCTAATGCAATGTAGAAATTCATGATATTAATCTTAAAAATAGGCTTTTCTTCAACCTGAGTGCATTTCCAGGAGGGGATTGACTTCGATCGTAGTAAGAAAATGACAAAAACTAGTAGATGTGATTTTGCAAGCAGAATACGTTTCCTATATACTTTACATCTACCCACCCTTGATAACATTCTAACATTTTTTTTTTTTTTTTAACATGGAAAGTGTGTATAAATATGATTAAATCAAAAGCAAAATGTAATGATCCAAAACAAATGATAACATATACTTAGTATGTACCTTTTCACAAACAAATAATTAAAATCACATTACTAAAGTAACTAAAATGCTTATGTAAATAAAGCTCAAAACATCAATGTGATGCTCCTGAATCCAACATTAAGATAAAAATTTGATTGTGACTGGCATATAATGTCTAAACAAAAACACCATATATACTCTAACCATATATTCTTTCACACATGAATACATGACAATACACAGCCACTTCAACAAAATCACTCAAACATTATTTGAAGGTGAAACCCCAGCTGATTTGTTCAATGCAAGCAAAAATGAGTTCTTTGCAAGAGAATGGGACTTATGAGCTAGTAGAACTTCCAAAGGACAAAAAGGCTCTTAACAACAGATGGATTTTCAGAGTAAAACCTGAAGTGAACAATCCTAATCCAAGGTACAAAGCTAGATTAGTGATGAAAGGTTTTAGACAATAAAAGGGCATCGACTATGATGAGATTATTTCACCAGAAGTAAAGATGCCATCTATTCAAGCTGTTTTGGCTTTAACAGTAGTAGCCAACTTGAATTTAGAAATTGAACAGCTCAATGTTGAGACAACTTTTCTCCATGGTGATCTTAAGGAGGAGATCTACATGAAGCAACTTGAGGGTTTTGAGGTGCAAGGCAAGAAGAATCTTGTGTGCAAATTGAAGAAAAGCTTGTATGGTCTTAAACAAGCTCCGAGACAATGGTATCATAAGTTTGACTCTTTTATGGGGAGCATAAATTTACTAAAACAGAATTTGATCATTGTATTTATGTAAAGAGGTATCCATATAGTGGTTTTTTGATACTTTTTCTTTATGTGGATGACATGCTAATTGTTGGCCTTAACACAAAAAAAATTGCATCCTTGAAGAATGACTTGAGCAAGTCCTTTTCTATGAAGGATTTGGGTCCAGCAAAGCAAATTCTTGGAATGAAATCTTCCAAGATAGAAAGAACAACAAGCTATGGTTGTGACAAGAAAAATATATTGAGAAGGTGCTTGATAGGTTTAACAAGAGTAAAGCAAAACCTGTGGGCACTCCACTTGCTGGCCACTTCAAACTTATCACAAAGCAAGTGTCCTACAAGCAACGAGGAAGCAGAAGGCATGAAGAATGATGCCATGGTGTGCACAAAGTTAGATATAGCTCATGCAATAGTGGTAATGGGTAGATTTTTATCCAATCCTGGCAAGCAACATTGGGCAGCAGTTAAGTGGATTTTCAGGTATCTTAAAGGTACATCTCACATGTGCTTATGTTATGGTGAGCATGAACCTTTACTTAATGGCTATAATGATGTTGATTTGGGTGGAGATTTGGACTCTAGAAAGTCCACCTCAAGATACTTGATGCTTTATGCAGGGGGAGCAATTTCATGGAAGTCAAAACTGCAGAAAAGTGTATCATTATTGACTACAAAAGCTGAGTATATAGCTCTTTCTGAAGCAAGAAAGGAGATTGTGTGGATGAAGACTTTCTTTGAAGAATTGGGTCTTAAGAAAAAGAAATTTATGCTGTTCTGTGATAACCAAAGTGCAATTTATTTGAGCAAGAACCCACAATTTCACTCCAGAACCAAGCATGTTGATTTAAGGTATCATTGGATATGTGATGCAATTGAAGAAAAGGTGCTTGATGTTGAGAAGGTCCACACGGATGACAACAGCTTTGATATGATGATCAAGTCCTTGGTCAGAAGCAAATTTGAGTTTTGCAGATCACAAGTTGGCTTGTTAGAGCCCCCAACTAGCTCGGGCAAGGGATATTGTTGAGCTAGCCCTCCCAAGTTGGGTGGCTCAACAATGGAGGTGCACCTTGAGTGCACTGAGAATGGCAGAAACTTGGGAAGTTTTTATTTGAAGATGAACAGTAGTTGTCGACACGGACTTCCCTATTCTTGAAGAAAAGGGGAAAAGTAAAGTAGATACCTCTAACTTTAGACATATTAACATATTAGTCCCTAATAGGATAGTTGTTACTATCCTTGTATCCAAAAGCACCCTATTTTTATCTCTAGTTAAATGTAGAAGAGTGCAGAGGTGTGTGCGTGAAAAACAAAACCAGTGAGAAAACTGTGAAGAAAAAACAGGGACTGAGGTTGAGAGCAAGTCTCTCTTGGTGATACTAGAGATTCAAGAGATTCAGATTTTGATCCGAAAGTTGTAATCCATTTTTCAGTTGTGGATTGATTTTCATCTGACAAGTTCCTTATGATTTTTCCCACTTGGGTTTTTCACGTAAAAATTTCTAATGTCCTCTTTATTTTTATTGTTTTGCTTAATCTATTTTGGTGGTTGATTGAGCTCATTGATTGCATTGATTCTGGGCATTGGACCTTTAAAATCACAACATGTGAAACTATGAAGATGCTACCTATGCCCCTTTGATGGTGTGGGATGGCAGAATATCCCGAAAATAATTAGAACTGTTGAAACTTCAATGTAAAGAAGTTCTAGCAACAGCCTTTACCTTCTATTGCAATCGAGGATCAACGTATGTTACAGAGTATTTTTAAGGATGAAAAAGTATACATAACATATGAAATGAGAAAGTAAAAGGAACTCTTACTTTGCTACCCATCATCCTTACGGGAACAGGGGAGGCTAAACTAATACTTCCTCTTCCTAACCTTGAAGCTGGATGATCGGATAACATCATCATCTGCTTTTAGTGTTTCCTCAAGTACTGCCATTGACTCGGGTTTTGTGAAGTAGGTGAAGAGGAGGTAAATGCCATCCAAGTAAGTGTTACATTCCCCTTCTTTATTTTTCTTCTTGATGCTATAGGCTAGAGGGATAACTCCCCTGTTGAATACCTCCACATACATGCCACCACCAGCTACCAGCAGCTGCAAAATCATCATCACCATTACTAGCTTTACAACAGAATTGCATTACAAATGTTGACCAGACAAAACCTCTATGGTTTGAACCAACAATTCAACAAATTTACATTGCTCAACGGGTCCAAAAAAAAAAAATGGGGGAGCAATCAGGGTAATTTAACTAGAATGTAATGTCCCCTTTTTGTTTTGAAACGCAGTTAGGTACAAATTTCAACTTAACTTGCAACATTCCTTTATGCCTATGGTATATGCCAATTTGAATAGCGTTGGCCAAGTTTATCTTACAGTTTATCTTCCAATATGACTGAAATTTGAAACTTAAAATAACAAAATCAATGATGTTGAATACAAGCACTACATTACACCATCCTGCCCTGACCCTCCCTCCCAAGGCTTAACTTCACCTCCACTATATATGTAGTCTAAATTTCATGAAATAGAAAAAGAAAAGGAAAGTAGGGCGAGCAATAATAGCATTACCTCCTCGTACTTTTGTGTAAGGGCGAGCCTTTGGTCTTCTGGCATGTCTGGTCTCAAAACCGCCATAGTCTCGTACTGTCGCAGTCCCGGCGGGCACTGGGGCTCCTCTTTATCTTCTAAGGCAGCCAAGCCCGGCCCGCCCCCAGTCTGTGAAGGCGAAGAAGAAGGCGGGTCATCGTCCGATCCGAACCCGCCGCCTTGGAAGAAGCCAAAACTCTGGGCTTTGGCCGTTAAGGTTGCATTTCCCAGTCCTTTGGGGAAAGGTCTGAGGCTGCGTGCCAAGGAGAGCAAGGGCACATGAGGGGATTGGGAGAAATGACGGGGACAGAGTGGGGATTTTGTAAGGGAAGAGATCGGAACTGCCATGTCCGCCGTTGAAGCCAGGAAAAGAGTGAGTGAATTAAGGGAAGGGAGAACTGAGGAGGAAGTAGATAAGGAAAGCTACCAGTAATTCTGAGAAGAGTTTTTGGGCTTATTAGCCTATGTAGGAGGATTGGGGCCTATTTGGCAATGCCAGATTTAGCTTCTTTATTTATTTTTATTAACCAATTTTGCAGCCCATTACCAGGCCTGGCGGAGCCTTTGTTTTTTTTTTTTGTTAAACCCCTAATTTGGTCCCTCAACTATTATACAGAGTTTTGATTTAGTCCTTAACTAAAATTTTTTTGATTTGATCCCTCTTATTTACTAATTTAACTCCAAGTTTGATCATTTTGTTAAAACATAACTGACATGTCCATTACTTAATCACAAAAAACTATTATTTAATGGTTATTTATCACGTCAATAACAAAACATATCAATTATTTTTGTATGAAAAGACCAATTTATGACTAAATTGGTAAACGGTAAGGATCAAATCAATTTTTTTTTTAATTTTAAAATCAAATAAAAAATCTGTATAATAGTTGAGGGATCAAATTAAAGATTTAACCTTAATTATTTTTTTTTTCCTCAATTAATTCACCATGAATTGCAGATGCAGAGAAGAAGATACACAAGTATTATGATTATATTTACATGACTGTATGCATTCTTAAAATTAACATGTACTATACATCTGAGAAAATTGAACACTTCCTGATCTGATTGTGATGATCAATCAATGTGTGAATTAAGCCATAAAGGCTGGTGTCAGATCTCAATTCATTAGCCTATCATCAACATCATCGTGTTCCATTAATTAATTACACATTTTAGAAGCTAGTAACACAGAAGATTGGACCAAAAGCTGCAAACTTAAAGCAATTGATTTCTTCAGATCTAGAGTACTAACGTGCTTCTTCCTATATATAACTTATAACAACTGGTACTGGGAAATTAATCTCCTATAAAAATCACAGATGTATTTGTTTCGCTGAGGATTGGTATATATGGAGGAGTTTGTAACAGTTAATTAAGCAAATTAATTAAGATTGATTGTACATAGAGGAAGGACAAGTGTCGCATCGCATTATTAACATATATTATATGTAAATATATCGGTTAGCTGCTGCAGCAGCTCTATATATATCGATCATATATAACTCGTTCCTTTAGGTATCTCCATGCAGGTTTGACCCCCCCAGACTCTTGAGAGAGTGAGAGGACCATAAAAATGTTTCCTTGTTTGATAACCATTTTATGTTTTATTCATCATCTGTTTCTTTTCCTGTATGTACATTAACTGTTGTTGTAGTTATAACTATAACTGTAGTCACATTTTTTCTTTTTATCCTAATTATTAGGTGTAGCTTTCTGCTTTATGTATCAAATTAAACAGATGAGGATAATGATGAGTTTTAAAGTATTGGGTTGACATTTATGTTTGTTTGTTGGGTTTTTTTTTTTTTTTTTTTTGAAAGTTTTCCTGCATTATTTGATTAATTAGCTATACTTTGTTAATTTTGACGTGGTCAAGCAAGCACTGATTAAAATCTTAAGTGTATATTAAATGTTTTATCTAATTTATGTACTTAAGGCATAAGTTAATTTTTATTAATTAATGTATTTATAATTAATTTTATATAAATTTTTATATTAGATTCATATATTTTTTTATATATTTTAAATATAAATATTTTATTTTATTTCAATTTAATATTTTATATCTTATTTTAATTAAATTTGGTATAAAAATTTATTTAAAATTAATTACAAACATCACAATTAGTAAAACTTAAATTACATGCTGAAGACACAGTTTAAAAAATCCTAATATTAAATTATATATGAGACGTTATATATAAAAGCTAGTTTTGTCTTAATGTCATTGGATCTTTCATCCTGCTAGCTGTTTTATTGTTGTTAATTTAACACTACCGACTGAATACATATATATATATATATATATATTTTTAATGTAAGTGTACATATTGGAAATCTGAATCAAACAACTCCAGGGAAAGTATAAAGTAGTGGCCATCCTTTCCCTGGCATCATCCACAAATTAAGTACACAGGAAATTAAACCAGAATCTACTACTGTCTACTCCATTATATATGAGAATTGTACCCAACCATCACCAGAGATTTCCTCCTTTTTACAAATGTTCTTTTTTTATCAAAAAATATATTTAAATATTCTTTTTCTTCGAGTTTGAAGCATATATATATATATATATATCGTGCATGCAGGACTCGACCACTACTTAAAGTTAGGGCATCATACATACTCTCTTAATTAATTTTTCTTTTGTTTCTATCTATCCAAAGATAGATTTGGTACATATATATGAAAAAAGTGTTTATAGATAGGATATAGTTGCACAACCATTTTAATTAATTTCTTTAGTACAAGACATATGTTGTTCGTATAAAAAAAATCTCAATTAAGTCTATATATATATATATAGAAGAGAAATCCATTTATATATAAATTTTATATATTATATTTATACAAAAT